ACACACACACACACACACACACACACACACACACACACACACACACACACACACACACACCTCATTTCCTAAATGTGTATTTTCTGGCTTTGAGCAGCTGGCAGGGCAGAGCAGATGTTAAATCAAGTTACAGGCTCTAAGCCAAAGTTAAAAGCAGCGCAATAAAAACTAAAGTTTGAAAGTTGATTTTCTGAGTTTGTATTGATATAATTTGATCGTGAGCAGAGCTCGCCCTTGAATCATGATGTCAGACTTAAGGCTCATGATTAAATACGATGACAGCTGAAGATGTAACAGCAGCGCCGTAAAGGGGTTTGTTAGATTTGGTGAATTAGACCCAGAGGCATTTTTAAATTATGAAGTAAAACACACAATTTTCTTTTCCTTTTTTTCCCCTTTTTTTTCTTTTTTTCCCTTTTTCCCCTTTTTTTTCCTTTTTTTCCTTTTTCCCCCCCTTTTTTTCCACACTAAACACACTAATTATTGCATGTAAACATGTTCATCTACTGGACTAATTTCTGTGGTCCTGCTCCACACTGCTATATAAATAAACATTGATTGATTGATTGATTTATTAACCTGCACCAAAAAACAAAAAAGAAGACTTTTGTGGTAAAGTTTTGGCCCAAATTGAGTAAGAAAATATAAGAAATATATCCTAAACTGCTTGGAATATGTAATTAAAGGCAGCTGAAGCCGGGTCTGAGAAGGAAAGTGAGTTTTGGCCTTCAGACGGAGAGACATGAAAGGTTTGTGGAGGCTGAGAAGAGCTCACCATCTCCTCTGAGTCTTTCCCGCTGTGAGCAGCCGCCAGCGTGGAGGAGCAGCGCTCCAGGAAGCTTCTGCTGCTGCTGGAGATGGAGACGGTGTAGATGCTGCTGCTGTATCCGTCACAGGAGCAGTGGTCCCCCCGCCGGCCTCCACTCCCCGAAGCCCAGACGAACACCGAACCCCTCCCCCGCCGGCCCTGACACAAACACAAACAACCCGTTGGTACTGTTAACCCCATTCTTTATATATATTTATGTATTCTTAACTCATTGGCTGCCAAAGACGTCTATAGACGAGAGTGGCTGGGGGACGATCTGCTAAAGCTTGTCCGTAAATATCGGCTTCTAGACAGACTATGTAGTAACAAATTGACCCTCTAGGGGGCAGTGCCACTTTTGATGGGACATGAGCATAGACTGTAGGCAAATAAAAAAAAAAACGCAATGGTTCGCTATGAGAGAACATGTCGCCGGTGAGACGCACGTCGAGGAACAACGAAATAAGGTAGAAACAAATGTTTTTTCTTGATGAAAGAAGAGAGTCTACTCTTTCTTTTGGTGTGTTCGGTGTTTACATAGTCATAGCACAAACTATTCTGTGGCTCTTGAAAAATCAGTCAAAATGCTCAAAAAACTCTGGCAGTATGGGACAATGAGTTAATGTACCAGAGTGGACCAAAAGTACAAAAATAACATTTATTGGACACAGTTAAGTGTATCAGCTGGGACACCTGAAGTGCTTAATATAAAGGAAATATACTAGTGAGAACTAAATGATGATAAGCTGCTAACCCGATTCTTTAGTTGGAAACCTGAGAATAAACCAGAGTGGATCAAAAGAATAAAAAATTACATTTATTAAGTCACAGTTAAGTATATCAGTGGGCTCTGACAGACTAAAACCTCTCTCTGGGTCTCAGTGGGCAAAGAGCCCTGAGATCTGGGTGATGGGCATTATCTCCTGGGCTCCATCCGCCTCCTCAAAGGAGGACTGGACACAACCAAGTCCTATTGGCCAGTTAGCTCTGGGCAGGAACAGGCCAGGTCCTAATTCATGCAGATGACAGGAATGTGGTAACAAATGGTGTGTGTGTGTGTGTTGACCTAAAGGTGGATCTAATGCAACAGAGAAAGAAAAAGAGAGAAAAGGAGCCAGACTTGAACACAAAATATAAAAAAATATAAAAGAAAATAAATAAATATAATAATAATAAATATTTAAGAAATTAAGAAATAATAAATAAAAGAAAATAGTCATAAAAGAAAATAAAAGTAAATAAATAATAAATAAAATAATAATAAATATTTAAGAAATTAAGAAATAATTAATTAAATAAAATAGTCATAAAAGAAAAGAAAACAATCAGTAATAGATCATGTGATAGCATACAATGCTAAAGTGAGCAATTATAGCCAAATTCTAACAGTATTTACAGAGTGCTGAGAAATTAAAGGCTATAATGCTGAACAGGACAAGGTTTAAAAAAAAAAAAAGAAAAAATAATAAAGGGAAAAGAGAGGAAGAAAGTCCCGATCTCTGCGTGTCGTGATCTCACTGTTTGAACGCCGTTCCGCAGAGCCAGACGGGCCAGGGGTCCGGGGCCCCCCACAGTGGCCCCGTCGTCCTCCGGGCCCCAGGCGGCCAGATAAATATCCACGTGCTGCGGTCTGAAGCTCAGCGCCCGGGCCTCCACGAGGTCGGTGACGTCCCCGTCCAGCATGCGGACGCCTGGAAGTGACCGTGAGAGAGGAGCTGTCAGAGAGGTGGATCTTGAGGGAGGACTCAGTCGCGGAGATGCAGAAACGAGGGTTTTATTTCGACAAAAAACACACTCAAAAGAAGTGGATGGCAGACATGGGTTCAAAAACAGGCTGTGACAAAACTAAGAGCAAAGTAACAAAGCAAGGAAGACAACACTATGAACAAAGTACCAAAGCAATAAAGTTAACAAGGCTGTGAAAAAACATGGCTATGGAACAAAAACACGCCTATGGCAAGGTGCAAAAATGAAAACCTTATGTGGAGAGGGGTGACGAAAACAGAAAACAGTATCAAAAACCGTATCAAATAAAGATTAACAAAACTGTGGCAAAATATCAAAGCAAGATTAACATAACTGTGACTAAACATGGCTATGACAAAAACATGGCTATGGCGGCAAAAAAACAAAACAAGACTATGGCGAAAGTGCAAAAAAAATCAAAACCTTACATGACGTGGGACCAAGGACACGAAAGCAGAAAGACGAAAACTCACTGGCACGGGACAAGGGGAAACGAGGACTATTCAAACACATGAGGGAGGGGAACCCCAGGTGTACACAATAGGTAATCAAGACATGACGAGACACCAGACATTCCCCCAGACGTGACAGGAGCTTTGGGGGGGGGGGGGGCTCACCTCCTATCCGGGCCCGGAAGGAGACTCCCATGGTGCAACGGGAGCCGTTTGCCCTCGCCGCAACCATCCCCGCGCACTGAGTCCCGTGGCTCCGGAGAAAGGAGGAGAACGGCAGAAACGGGAGTTTAGATGCATATGCATGAGGAAGAGGCTATTTTTGCCACATCAAACCAGTGAGGAAACGGGATTCAGACTGGGAGAATAAGACTTAGACTTAGACTTCCTTTATTGTCATTGTACAAAAAACACAAGGTGAAACGAAATGTCGATTACTTGGCCACCAGTGTGACAGATTTAAGACCTTATTCCTACTTAATAAATATGTTTTCTATTACTAAGAGCTGGATATATACGGTGGGGGAAATAAGTATTTGACCCCTTGCTGATTTGGCAGGTTTGCCCACTTACTGTACAACGAATGCTTATTTTTCCTCATCAGATGGTTAGCAATTTTTATAAATTCTTATGATGTGATTTTCTGGAATTTTCTTTGGGATTCTGTCTTTCACTGTTAGAATGTACATATGATTAAAGTTATAGATCGTTGCATTCTTTGTAAGTGGGCAAACCTGCAAAATCAGCAAGGGGTCAAATACTTAATTCCCCCACTGTACAGGGTAAGAGCATATATATACATAGAGTTATTACAAAAGAAACATCAATGAATATTGCACTATTAAGTTGATTGCAAAAATTAGCATTCCCACATGCGAGGACGAGTGAGGAAAGTGCATTCGTTAGAGTCAGGAGCCTGCAGAGGCGGTGCAAACAGAAACACATTGACACCAAGCACTCACAAGTTAGCGGCGGGGCTGGAGTAGCGGGGAGAGGGATCTGGGTCTTGTCCGTTCACATCATAGCTGGCGAGCGGGTCCTAAATCAAGCGGATAGTAAGTAGCAGCGTCTAACAGCTGCCAGCGGCTATCTGTCTCTATTTCATCAGACAAATCAGACAAAGAGCATTATTCACCAGTCCGGCCCGCAGTTAAGTGGATCAGACGTTTAATGTCCATTCCAATACTCTTAGCTGGCCTTTTCAAACCTTTGGACCCGAAAGCTGTGCCTGCAATATCTGTCTGGGCTCCGTGCTCTTTCTCTAAAAGCTCTGCCAAACGGCTTATGATTAACGTCCAGAAGACGGGCGCAACCATCCCGTGGGCACTTACATAATTTGGCTTCAGATCCGGATGCTCTCTCTCAAGGCCGTCGTCTAGGACGGAGACCACCACGCCCCCCCCGGCGTAGCCCCGCCTCCAGGCCTCACTGATCCGCATCCGGGCTGCACAGCTCCTGGCCTCCCCAATGCATCTCTGTGGATAAAACAGGGGGGAACTCAGCCTCAGCCCCTGGAAGGGGGGGTGAAAGCTCAATCGTTTCTTATCTGTCTGGGTTGGGGCTTTTGATTTTGTCATGATGGTGGGTTTTGAGGGAGGACTCAGGCGCGGAGATGACGGAAAAACAGGGTTTATTGTAACAAAAAGGTGGAAGTCCAGACAAAGGTACAAAAACACGGCTGTGGCAAAACTAGGACTATGACAAAGTAACAAAATAAAGATTAACAAGACTGTGGCAAAAAGCAAAACCTTACGTGACATGGGGAGACGAGGGACGAGAGACGCAACAAGAAGGACGAAAGGACGAAAACGAACTGGCAGAAGACAAAGGGAAACGAGGACTATTTAAACACACGAGGGAGGGGAACCCCAGGTGTACACAATAGGTAATCATGACATGACGAGACACCAGACATTCCCCCAGACGTGACAGATTTCCTCTAGCTCACATTGTACCACGGGCTGCTCCATCCCGCCTGGTTGAATCCAGGAGAGGCCCCGGGTCCGTTGGACTGAAGGGGACGGGCCCCCCAGGTCCTCTTCTCCCTCTTCTGGACCACCTGCTGCTGAAGCCATTCCACCTTTGAGGGAACACACAGCGTATCAGGGCCTTCAGACAACTATTCTGGAAGTTCTGATTAGTTTGGCTTATTAGCTAACACCGTGGGAGAGAAATCCATGAACTCCAGGGTTTTGCTTCTGACTGCCTTATTATTCATCAGATAACTATTTATTCTAATGATATGATCAGTGGATGATGCATTCCCCCACCATTTCCCAAAATTGTTTCTCTCTGAAACGCACCACAAATGTCTGTGGCGAATCCCAGAGGGAGGAATTTGACTCATCTGTAAGAGATCTCGAGACTTTTTAGAGGAACGAAAGAACCTCTGGGCCTTTTTTCCCCCGCGCATACAACGTATAAAAGGAGGCCAACGCTCCCCTCCGACAGGAAGCAAATGAACCCGACATGCAAACCTCATGTTTAGAAAGAAATGACGAAGTGCTGTTTTAGATGCTTTCATTTCAAACTGCTCCCACTAAGTTTTTTCTTCCGTGTGTCGCCTAGTGCTTGCTTGGGAATTGTTGTTCTTCTGTAAATAACTTCAGTCTGGTGTGACCTGCTCTGTTAGGAAAGCTGGGAGATAACTGTTGTTGTGATGTGGCGCTATAGAAATAACATTTAATTTAATTTAATTGAATCTCTGAATGTGGTTCTGTATTGACTCCTGTGGGTGTGAACAAGAATTCTGTTAGCAAACTGAGCGCTCAGGTGTATGTGGAGGTAAGCAGCTCATTAATAGTTCAGGTGAGTCTTCCTCCTCCTCCTCCTCCTCCTCCTCTTCCTCCTCCTCCTCCTATCAGGTTTCTCTACCTCTGCCTCCTTGGCGATGGCGGCCGTGGCCTCTTTGTTGCAGACTGTGGAGCGACTTGCCGTCCCGAGGTGTCGGAAACTGTAGTAGTTCTTCAGGTGTCCGATCTAAAGAAGCACACATCAAATCCTCAGATTTGTCTCGTCTCCGTTTGAAGGCGTGGCCCCTTTCTGTTATGAGCAGCTGTTGAATTATGAAACAGCTGTGGGTGTCTTTTCATTCGGGCTGCCACCGGACACCGGCGATACGTTTACAGGTGGGCGCAACCTGAGCGTCTCACAGGTTTCGTCATGCAGATTAAAGATTCCATTCTTATTTTAAACTCTTTGCACGGCCATTTTCTTTACCGTGAAACCCTGAATTAGGCCTCGGTACATTCCCCAACGGCTCTGCGGTGGAATATGATTTCTCACCTTCTCGCTACAGTCAATTTGACTTCAATTCTCTCTCATTTTACATGCACCGGATCCAAGATTTGGAAGTTTCTATTGCGGCAGCCGCCCAGAGGGAGCGCGTGGTTTATTTAGTTGCTTTATTAAATTACTTATGCCACCGTTCTTCAGGTCCTGTAGCCTCGAATAATAAGTTCAGAATATTAATAAAGTTCAGAATATTAATCCTGACGGGTTTGAGTGTCAGTGATCTAACGAGTTTAACCTTTAGGGAAATTAGATGACGATAGATAGATAGATAGATAGATAGATAGATAGATAGATAGATAGAT